GTTCTGATTTACGCTGTGTAAGTTTTGTGTGTGGTTCCGATTTACATTGCGCTGATTGAGTCATAGTAAGCATCTTTCGTGTGCTTATGTCATTTGTACGTCTTCCCTGGAGAAACAAATATTCGAATCCTTGCTCATTTCTAAATTGGGATCTTTATTATTGAGCCATAGGAATTATCCATATAACTGGATACTAGACCGTTATCTACAGTGCGTATTTAGAACAGCTCCATCACCTCCCAGAAAGCGCTCGTGCCTGTTTGAGGTCGATTCCCACTCTCACCCGCAGTGCCAGGCAACCACAAGGCTTTGTTTTTCGAAAGCCCCTCCCCCTCATGAAATTTTGTCTCCGAAACATTGTGCAATTGAGATTTCACTTTGCCTTTTGGAAGCCCTTGGCTTAGCTTCTAGCATGCCATGTAGCGCTCTGGAGTTCAGCCAGCGTCCCCTGAGAAAACTAGTCTGTATCTGGGGTGTCTCTGGTTTCCAGTGTGCCCTCTGACCAAGAACCTTGTGGTTTTCCTCCGGTCAAGTCCCTCTGCATGGCCTAAGCCCAAACCTCAGTTCCAGCAAATGCCCCCCGAGGAGAAAATGGCCAGACTGTCAGTTCACCTCAGAAAGACTTTGTCCTCTGAAATTCCAGTTATCTTTATTGCTTCCCGTTTTCTGGTGGTTTAATTTTTAATTTTGGTGTTTTAAATCTTTTTTTCTGGTTGTTGCAGTAGGAGTGTTGTGTTGCTGTGGCCTACTATATCCTACCCATTAATTACTGTAAGCTTCCAAGTCTTTCTATTTTCAGGCAACTTTCCTTTCCCTCCCCCTTCCAGAAACATTAGCTATTCGGAGACATAAATTCTTCAATATGAATTTTAAAAATCCATTTATCTAGTCTCTCCCCCCGCCCCCCCCCCCAAAAAAAAACACAACTTAGATTTTGTTGGACGATATATTGAATTTAAAATTCTTATGATTTTAAGTTGTCCATCCATGAACATGGTACACCTATCCATTGAACAGATTTCTATTAGGTCCTTTAATATTTTGTGCTTTCCTTCATAAAGGAATTATACATTCTTTGTTAGATTTAATCCTAAATACCTTACTTTTATCTTTTAAAGCCCCCCCCCCCGCCTTTTTTTAGGGCAATAAGTTACAAATCCTAAATGTTCAAAAATTAAAATACTTTCTCATCCATTTTCATCAGTTACCCAGTTTTTCTCCAGAAGAAACAAACGTTACTAAATCATCTGTTAATCTTAATGTGGTAAATATTAGTATATAGTGGTTACATTGATTTTTGTTCATTTTTATATCTTGAGTTATCTGGCTGAATTTCCTTATTTCTAACAGTACTTTGTTTTGGATTCCTTTTATGTATATGCATTCACCTGCAAAGAACAATCATTTGGTCAATTCTTCTCGGTGATTTTAATGCACTGGCTAGAATGCTGCTCTAATAAAGTAGCTAAGGAAAGTGGCTGTAAATATCTGTGACGGAGGGCAATCCTGCCTTATTCCTGCCTTTAATGAGAGGGCTTCTGTTTCATATTTATATATGAGATTTGCTGGAAGTTCTTGACAGATGTCTTATCAGATTTGTTAAAATTTTACCTGTTTCTATTTTGCTTAGAATGAGTACCATTAAAGTTTTTATGAACTTATTTATGCACCAATTAAGACACGTGTTTTTTCCTCTTTAATGTATTGTGCTGAATCTCCCACTTGTGGGGGGGGGGGGGGAGGAGTGAAATCTAAAATAAAACCCTGTTATCCCAAGTTATTTATTTTCATGAAGGGGGAGAAAAAAGAACCTTTAATGGTAGTGAAAATATACTTTATTTTAATACAATAGCTGCCAGCAATATACTGGGTTCAGAGACAAAAAGAAAAATACAATCATTCTTCAATAGGTTTTCATTTGCCTTTTCAAAGGATTTTAAAGCAAACACTCCAATTCTGTTCAACATTACGACCTGGGGAGTTGAATTATTTTCCCTGATAAAAATAAAAATTTGACAGTCCCAACATTTGATACTTTGTAAAGAATGGAATAAAAAAGCCCATATAGTATATAGATAATGAATGCTTCCCTCTTTTTGAATCAAATACTATTACAGCCAGTATAAGAAGTTGGTTGATCAACTTGATGAAATGTGTATCAAAATGTTCATGAAAAAAATACATATTTCTTAACGTGTTTACCTTATAGATATTTTCTAAGTGGATATTTTAGATGCTCAGAAATAAAAGCTATTTACATGAAACTCTGGAGAAACTCAAAACTCAACAGAAGTAAAATTGCCTAAATTCTAGAGTTGATTAATTTAGGGTAAGAGTAAGTGTTGGAAATGTTTTAATTGTATACAGATTGCTCAAGGGCTTAAAACTAAGTTGTCTAAGCCAAAGTTACCCAGAAAAGAGTCTCATATTAATTTCATCACAACAATCCTAGTAAAAGAAGATAACAGAGCTGTACAGAAACACTGCATTTAATTTTTCTTTTTAAAGGAAGTCATCAACTGAAATGGAAAACTTTCCAACTGATGGAACACAAAAATTTCACAGAATCCCTTGGGAAACAGAGCTTCTTTCAGACTCTAATCTCGTTTGTTTAACTGAAGGGGAAATGATTCAGTAGTTGCAGAAATAATAGCAGAAGATTTCCATTATATCAACCCATACACATGAATTGTCATGTAAACTTTTATCCCCAAATCTCCTCAGACTTAAACGATCACCTTTGTACCAATATAAGATGGGGTAAAAGAGCATTTTCTGGGATCACCCTATTGACTGGCTTTTGTCCATTTGTCAATGTCAATTTCATTTAACTAATTTCTCTTATAAAAGTAATGAGATCTTTCTACAGAGAAAAAAATCATTCTGCCTTTCTCAATGTCGTAACAGTCCTACCTATTCCTTGGACAATGAGAGGGATGCATCATGGGATACATTTTTTTAAAGGTAGAGAACAATCATCGGATAAATTTCTCATAGATAGTGACTATCCAAGGTAAAAATATTTCCCAATGGAGTTTTAGACTGTATTTTTCATCATTTATTCTAAGGACTGATGCTCTTTCCTCATTAGCTCTCCATTCCACACCACTTAGAACACCCTTCACGGGAAAGAACGACACCCCTTCTTTTGAATCTTTTAACCGAATGCCAAGTTACCGCTGTTTAAAAATAGGGAAAGTGATGATGGCTGTGTACTGGTGGCAGATGTGACATTTCTACCCAATGAAGCTAACGCTATAGGATTTCTCAGTAGATAACCTGTAGTTCTTCCTGGAACCAGAGAAATCAGCATCCAATATTAATTACACAAAAGAAGGGTGCTCAAACTTTTGATCAGCAATAAAGAATTTTATCTCCCTGAGTCAAAGGGATACAATATGGAGCTTTACTTATCTTTTTGTACTAATTACTGGGAGGTTAAAAAAAAAAAAAAATGCAGTGTGCTTATAAAAATCAGGTTGCTTCCATAAAGCCAGTGCTTACTAAATGTTAGCATGACAAAGGGAGGAAATCATTGCCTTTTAAAGCAATATACTTAAATTTCCAAAAACAGCCTGTGAGAAATAGCACTTCTTAAACAGGTTAGGTTAAAAAAAAAAAAAAAAAAAAAAATTTACTGAAAGTTTTCTAGTAACAACCCCATCTTTGGAGTAGTAGCTACAAAGTCCAATTGGGGGGGAAAATGAGTAAATACACAGCAAATTCATTTTGTTTTCACTAAGTTCCTCCTCCCTTGTTAGAGCACAAATAATTCTGCTTTAGAACTTCAATTTAAGAAACAAACACGCAGACTGCTTTCCTCGGCGTGTGGAAAGATGTGACGGGAGGGAGGCCATGGCTACATTAGGAAACGCTGCTGGAAATACACACTCACCAGAACGACTGTGATTTAGTCCGAAAGGAGCGAGCCCACGGCCTGACCGGAAACGGGGGTGGGATGGAACACCTGCTAATCTGTGCTTTGTCTTATTTTCAATGGGTGTGTTTTGGTTTCTCACATTAAAGAAGCTTTAGAAACAAAATTCTACTTGATATTTTTGACAAACCTTAATTTCTGTGTTAATGTTTACATTACTATTCGTTGTATACTGCTAGAGCTAAGTCAACTAAGTATTAGTTTATGTAGTGTTGCTCAAAAAAAATCTACAAACAGCAAGATCTATGCTGACCTAAAAAGGAGCGTCTTAAAATAAAGAGAGCAAAATGTTCCAAATGGACTCACTGGGCACAGTCCATCAGCAGACGCCACGCTGAGACAGATACCAGGTGCCCAAAATGCTCAGAAAAGACTGAGGATATTACCCCTCTCTCTAAACGGTGAGCTTCTACATGTGTCAGATGTTATCATGGTGTAAGAATAAATGCTTTCAGGAAAAGAGAAGATCCTTGTACAAAACAGAGCAGCGAAGTCTGCAGTGCCTTTCTGTGGGAGGCCCTCTCCTCTGGTGGTGACGCCGTGAGCACAATCCAGGATGGACTGAACTGAACGGAAGGTTTTGATACAGTAGCAATCCTTTCATAGACTCTTACTAAATATCATAAAATCCCAAAAATACATAAATATCCCTTGTACCACGCATTATGCACCAGTTTGGGGCTGACTGATGAGGTCATGGTCACTAACAGTTAAACACTGAACCTCAAAAGTCCTGCCGTCTATACACAGTGAAAGGACAAAACAGGGAGAGCTCTAGAGATAGGAAACCACCTCTGAAGTAAAAAGTGTGTGATGAAGGGTCTCCAAATTAGAAGAGAGGAGGGTATAGGGAGGGGAGGTAGGCAGGGAAAAATAATTTTAAAATAATACTGCTTAGGAGTGTATGTTTAAAGATAGCTACTGATCTATCCTTTATCCTAAACTTGAATAACTGCCATGTCCATGCAAAATAAAATGTCTGTTTTATAGGGAGAGGAGCAGTCTGTTAGAAAAAGCATGTTCCTAATCGGGAAGCGGTGTGAAGGCCTCTCATGAGTGCTATTTACTTGGTCAGTCTCTTGGCTACATCGTTATACGCTATTTCCACCTCCTTGTCACTGGGGCAGGTGTTGGTGAACTCGTCCCTACTGTAAGCATTGGTTAAGTATCTCCAGATGCCGGTCATTCTTTTTGGAATATCAAAGTTGCGGTATTTTTTGGCTACCACCTGAAAGACAAAGAGATCAAAAGTTAACATTTATTTTCCATGTTTAACCAGAAACATCTCTAGATTTTAAGAAAAACTGAGTTTGTGAAACTCTGAGAACTTCCGTTGGAAAGAAAGCTTAATGTCCTCTCTACCATTCTATCAATTTCATCAGAGAGGGGGGAGAATGAAGTTAGAAGTCACCTTCAATCTAACTAGACTCTTATATAATAAAAGACCAATATGCAAATAGACCAAACAGTGCAACACCTGGTTGCTATGCCTGCACTGACACCAGGGGACAGATGCTCAATGCAGGAGCTTCCCCCTGGTGGTCAGAGCGCCACTCAGCCAGAAGTGAGCCCAGTGGAGTGCGGGAGTCTCTCTGCCTCCGAGGCAACACTAGGGGGCAGTGAGGAGTGAAGGGAGAGGGATGTCTGACTGAGAAGTGGGCCTAAGCCAGCAGGCAGACATCCCCTGCAGGGTCCCAGACTGCAAGAGGGTGCAGGCCAGGCTGAGGGGAGCACCCCCTTTCCCTCACCCCCCCCCCCATATAGTGCCCGAATTTCGTACACCCGCCTCTAGTTTTAATAATAACGAGAACTGCAAACTACACAGATTCAAAAGTGTGACACTGACTGCAAACACCTGCTCTGGCCATCCAGGGAGACAGCCACGGAAAAATCCCTGGGCAGATACGTAAAACACACACTCACTATTTTATTTAATTTATTTATTTATATTTATTTTTATTTATTTATTTTAAATATATATATTTTATTGATTTTTTTACAGAGAGGAAGAGAGGGATAGAGAGTTAGAAACATTGATGATAGAGAATCATTGATCAGCTGCGTCTTGCACACCCCCTACCAGGGATGTGCCCGCAACCAAGGTACATGCCCTTGACAGAAATCGAACCCGGGACCTTTCAGTCCGCAGGCTGACGCTCTATCCATTGAGCCAAACCGGTTTCGACCACACTCACTATTTTAGATCTGTGTTTCTCTATCTCAATCTTTACTGCACAACTAGTGTTTATTACTATTCTATTCAGCAGTGTCTCATTCAGTAAATGCTCAATAAGCATGTTTCCCTTGAACAGAAAAAGCCAGGTGCCCTAGCTGGTTTGGCTCAATGGATAGAGCGTCGACCTGTGGACTGACAAGTCCCGGGTTCAATTCCAGCCAAGGGCATATACCTGCGTTGCTGGTTCAATCCCCAGTGGAGAGCATTCAGAAGGCAGCCAATCAATGATTCTCTCTTATCACTGATGTTTCTCTCTCTCTTTCCCTCTCCCTTTCTCTCTGAAATAAAGAAAAAAGAAAAAAAAGAAGAAACAAAGAAAAAGCCAGGTGATCACAGAGCAGAATCTGATTACATATTAGTTAGCAATTCCAATCCAAAGTTACCTGTTACATCTCTGAATTTTTATGCAGTCAGAAAAAAATGTAATATCCCTCTTTCTCACACACCTCAATTTTCAGACATAATTTCCTTTTCATTAACTCTATGATGTACAAGGCCTAAGCGGCGTTAAATTATACTATTGGGGGGGGGGTGGTGTTCCTATATGTCAGAAGGTGAGAGAAGTTTACACACGAAGGAAGTGCTGCCTGTGCACAGGTGACGGGGTCAGTGGCAATGAGACGCCACACCCACAGGCCTACCTTCACAATGTGCAGCTTGGGCAGCAGGTTGCAATCGGCCAATGTCATTTCATTGCCATCCAGAAATTTGCGTGTGGAACACTTGATGTCCTCCATGCTGTTCTCATCGATTTCGTCAGGGAGGGGAGAGTTCAGATACTCATCCAGTTTCTGCAGTGTCTTCAGCAGACCCCGCTCCAAGGCTGCAAGAAAGAGGGGAACACTGTAAGAAGGGAGCCCACCAAACCCCCAAAGCAGAAGCATTCCTCTTTCAGTCAGCAGCTGTCAGTGCTCGCTCTGACACAAAGCACAGAGAACAGAGCAGACAAGGTGCCTGTCCTCCTGGGATTACTTACATGGGGCGGGAGGACAAACAAATTTGTTCAGATAAATATAAAAACAAGCATGGCGGTTTCAGACAGTGGTATCTGTAAATCTTATTAATAGCTCAATAGCCCACATATGAACATATAGCATAGTTGATGTTTAAACCAGAAAGATTGGCCCTAGCTGGTCTGGCTCAGTGAACAGTGTCAGCCTGTGGACTGAAGGGTCCTGGGTTCGATTCCAGCCAAGAGCACATACCTGTTTGCAGGCTCATTCCCCAGTACAGGGTGTGCAGGAGGCAGCCCACCAATGATTCTGATCATTGATGTTTCTCTCTCTCTCTCCTTCTCCCTTCTTCTCTAAAATCAATAAAAACATATTTTTAAAAATAAACTGGAAAGATTGGAGAGAAACAAACCTACTAGTTCAATTCTAGGTTAGAAAATCCTGCTGAAACAGATTTTTTACTCTCAATTTTAAGTCCTACTCTCCTAAGAACACTTGGATTTTTCATCACAAAATGTGTTGTTAAACCCCACGGCAAACAATCTGAGCAAAAATCCTGGCGTTTTTGCACTAATATTACATAGGAAGCCAAGAATAGCATCTTGCATATAACATGAAAAACAGAGATCAGATTAGAGCTGAAGTGAGGGTCTCTCTAGGCAAATAGATTAAGATGCTATAATTGTCGTGATTGAGAGAGAAGTGGGACAGAGCCAACCCTGTGTATCTGGAAAGTAAGTTAGTAACCTTATTAGCGAGGAGGTGGGGACATCGTTAGAAAGGAATATGGAATAAATATAGACAGATCCTTTCCTAACCTTAACCTTCCCAACCCACCTTCACCCCCACTCCCAGAATATATAAACTTACACAAATGGTTACAGTACTTGGTTGTAAAAGAAAGTTAAATATTATGAGTTGACAACTTAGCTATAAATCTGAATAAAGTTGGATCTGTTATGGGAAAAGGCCAAGTTTCACATGCTGCCTATTAGATATTTCACCAGCAACATAAATATATCCTAACCCAACACCTTTTTTTCCAAAATGCTCCCACCTGCCCATCCCTTGGTCCCTTCAGGTAGTTCAGACAACAGACATGGCTAAGAGGAATGATGGTCTTTATACGGAAACAAGTCGGACAAAGACAAGTGCAGACACCTCATTGGAGCGAGTTTGCTTTCCTGTGCTTCACAGATACTGTGTTCTTTACAAATTAAAGGTTTGTGGCAACTCGTGTTGAGCAAAGTTTATCAAAGACATTTTTCTTTTCTAAAAAAAATATTTTAATTTATTTCAAAGAGAGGGAGAGGGATAGAGAGAAAAACATCAGTAAAGAGAGAGAATCCTTGATCGGCTGCTTCCTGCATATCCCCTACTGGGGATCGAGCCTAAAACCCTAGCATGTGCCCTGACCAGGAATCGAATGTGGTTAATAGGTCAATGCTCAACCATTGAGCCACACTGGCAGCCACACTTCATGTCTCTCCATTAAATTTTTGGTAATTTTTGCAATATTTCAAACTTTTTCCTAATTATTGTATTTGTTATGGTGATACCTGATCCATGATCTTTGATGGTACTATTGTAATTATTTAGGGGCACCACAAACACCCATATCAAACTGAATTTAATCAATCAATGTTGTGTGTGCTCTGACTGTTCCACTGACAGGCCATTCATCCCCCCATCTCTCTCCTTCTCCTCGGGCCTCCCTAATCCCTGGGACCAACAACATGGACACAGGCCAATCAAAAACTCTACCATGGCCTCTGAGTGTTCAGTGAAAGGAAGAATCACATTACTTCTCACTTTAAATCAAAAGCTACAAATGACTGAGCTGGTGGGGAAGGCATGTTGAAAGCCACGGTAGGCCAAATGCCGGGCCAGCCTCTTGTGCCAAACAATTAGCCAAGCTGAGAATCCACGCAAAGGAAAGTTCTTGACTTTCTGCAGCCCATGGGTCAAGGAGCAATTGTGACTTTCAAGTCTTATGTAAGAAATACACTTTGTGAAGCCATCGCTGCTGTAAATAGTGCTTTTTTTGATGGTTTTCGACTGAAAACCTCTGGACAGGAGTCACCATTCTGGGGCCACTAAGCACATTCATGTGTCATGGGAAGAGGTGAAAACATCACACTAACAGGTGGGAGGCGGTGGGTTTCAGCCCCCATGCAGGACCCTGAGGGGTTCAAGACTTCAGTGGAGGAAGTGGCTGCAGATGTGGAGGAAACGGCAAGAGAACCAGAATTAGAAGTGGAGCCTGAAGATGTAGCTGAATACTGAAATCTCAGATAAGCTTAAAACGGATGAGGGGTTGTGCGAACGCATGAGCAGAGAAGCGGGTTTGCCGAGATGAGATCTGCTAGTGGAGATGCTGTGAAGATTGCTGAAGTGACAACAAAGGATTTAGAATACTGCGTGAACTCGATTCAAACAGCAGCAGGTTTGAGAGCACTGACTAATTCTGAAAGAAGTTCTATTGTGGGTAATATGCTATCGATCAGCATCACATAACATACTACAGAGACCCTGTCCAGGAAAGGAGGCAAACTTCACTGTTCTTCTTTTAAGAAATTGCCACAGCCCACCCCTCAGCCTGCAACCACCACCACCCTGATCAGCCAGCCCCCAACTTGGAGTCAAGACCCTCCACTGCAAAGATTATGATTCATACAAGACTCATGCCCTTACTAGATTATAGCAGGAGCATAACTTTTGCATGTACTAGGAAACCAACAATCCATGTGACTCGATTTACTGAGATACTCGCTTCACTGCAGTGACCTGGAACGGAACCCACAGTGCCACTGAGGTACGCCTGGACCGTGTTGTTTAACTTATATGTAGAATTTAAGAGCAAAACAAATGAACAAACAAAACTCCCAGAAACAGAGAATACATGGATGGTTATCAGAGGGAAAGGAGATAGGGGGGAGTGGTCAAAACTGGTGAAGGGGGAAACTAGAATTACTGTGGTGATTATAGCACACACATGATCAAATTATGTTGTACACCTGAAAACTAATGCAATGTTACAAACCAATTTTACCACAATAAAAATAATTGGGATAATGATTATAATTGTCTAAATTTCCATGATAGCTAAAAATAACAGTCTGCACACACAAAAAAAAATCTTAAATGCAAAAAAAGGCAATATCTAATCACTGAATATCTTGTAGTTTATAATATGCTTTTAGAAAATATATTAGCATGGTGACTGCCAGGTACAGGGGGGATAGATGGTGACTGAAGGAGACTTGACTTGGTATGGTGAACACACAATACAGTGTACAGATGATGTGTTGTGTGGATGTGTGCATCTAACCCTGTTTAATCTTGTCACCCCAATCAATTCAATAGAAAGAAAAATGTATTAGTTATGTTCAGTCCTTGATACAAGTACTCTATATTACTATTTTAAAAGAATTTAAAACATTTACATTTTAAACTCAGGGCTGGTCTACATTAAACTAATAGTCCACTAAATCATGAACTTCTTCCTTGTATGATTACAATGAACAGAAGCATGGCCAGTAAGGAAGATAATACTGCCTGGATTTAAACATTGAAATAATGTCTGAAATGGACTTGAGTGGTATGGTAAGTTTGAGCAGGTTATTAATCTTCAACCTATTCTAAATCAATCCTTTTTATGAATTAATTTTCAAATGTATCCAATAGAAAATAAAATATCTTAAGTTTAAGGTTTATATCATACGATGCTTAGAATCCCAGATGTAAGGCACGAACTAAAATTAAGATAACAAAACTTTACAATTATTGTTTTTTCTATAATTTTGGACTTAGCACAGCTCCTGCAATCAAGTTCACTTGTGGTGCCTGACTAGAATGTTGGGTAATTTTTCAAAGTTAAAAATGTCAGAATAAAAAGTGTATTAGTAAACACAAAGAATGCTGAATTAGTTTGCTATAACTTTTAAGTAGCAATATAATGAATGGCCAACAAAATAAAGAAAAATAAAGTATCGAAAAACACTAAACAGCATCATTTAATGAACAAGTTTTAAAGACAAACCATCACAAAGGAATTTGAAGTTGAGATAAAGAAAATGTAGAGATTAACCACTAGAGGGCAGTAGCTAACCACCAGAAAGTAGCTCCTTGTCTTTTGTAATTATTATAATAAGGAGCACTATTGTCTCCAATACCCATGCTGTAGTAACACTAACATTTCTAAAAAGGTCTTTCAACAGCTCTCAAAAAAATAAATAGAAGCCATACAGTCAGTTTTAAATTAATTATGGAAATCAAAACAACCTTTTTTGCCTAAGAGAACACAGCAAAATTGAAGATTAGCACACATGCACACACCAGGGTCAAAAGTATGGGGAAATGAATACTTTCCCATAAGAGGAAATATTAACTGGTATACACTTTTGGAGAAGCAAACATTTTAACCTATTTGGAATCTAGTATAAGGCAGCATTGTTATAATGAAAAAAAAAAAAAAAAAAAAAAGGCAATCTCAATGTCTACCAACAGAGAAGTGGTTAAAACTCCATGTTATGAAATATTAAGCAGCTTTTCTTAGAAAATGAAGTTAAGTTCGATATTTTAAAGAATTTCTACCACATAATATGTGAAAAAGACAACTGTATAATGTAAAATATAAATGCACGTTTATTTACTCGGCAAAATTACATAGAAAAGAGGATGTATACTGCTGGGGAAGATGTTACATAATGTCATTAAGGAGCACTGGAATTTTATTAAATTATATTTATACTACCTGACCTTTTTAAATAAGCAGGCATACTCTATTACCTGCATAATTCAGATGAATAAACATAAGGCAGAAACCATGAAATGTAACAAGCCCTTAACTGTTGCAGAAAACAATACAATTCACAAAGAAGAAAACATAAATTATGAACACTTACATGGATAAGACTATATTTTAAATCTCCTGCTAGTTTAAATAAAGGGTAATCTGACCTAAACAATTTTTAAAGACTAGGTAACACTAGAGGAAAACAAGAGAAGTAGTGCGTATTTAAAGATGATTAAATAAATAATGCAGTGTCATAGCTACAATGATTAGTTAGCAATCATCCTCTGATTCCACGTTTCCAGAGAGAAAGAGAGGAAGGGAAGGAAAACGAGTCTTGAATAAAAAGGAATTAATTAGAACCTAAAGATTCAATTCTTCCATTTAAAAATAGGAATTTGGACACTAAGGAATATGCCTCAGAGCATATAATGACAGATTTTCATCACTAGTGAATTCAGGGAAATGACGAATATTATGAATACCAAACAGACTACTAAATTATCCATTAGTTACAATTGTGGGCTTAATAAATTATATAAATTAACTGAGGTTTAAACAGATTTGGGACAGGTCGTACCTAACCCATCCCCGTAAAAGGAATTACTCATTAATCTCCTTTAATGCTTCAAAACATTTCACAAACTCATACTCCCAATCAACTTGGACGTGTTACCAAAAGAATTATATATTTTACCTATCTCTCCCCCCCCCCCTCTCTATCTATCTATCTTCTATCTATCTTCAGTGTTTCCCTTTATTTTATTCTTTAGATCTTATGTTTACTTTGGGCCCAACCTAAAATACTGTAGCATCTAGGCATTTGATCCCTTACTTTGAATGAGGTCTTAACATTGTCCAATGTTTTGTAAAATATTAGTTTATAAAATATTTCACAGGCTGGTAAGACGAATCAAAGATCTGCCTATTCTGACTTACCATATAAAATAACAAATCCATCTCTAAATTGTTCATTGTTTGGAGAAAAGAAGTTGGATCATTCATTTCCTAGGCTTATTTAAGGCATTTAATTGTGTGAGAAAGATAAGAGACTTGCAACAAATAAACATAAGGGAGACCAATTAAGGTACAAAATTATTTGGGACATTGTTTTCTAAAGTCTCATGGCTGTGACAGGCCCCTGTGGGGAAAAGTTGCTTGGCAACTGGAATTCTTATTTACCAATAGGTAATTTAATATAAGGCCTTCTTAGTTATGCACAGTGTAATCCACTGTTGTTTGTTCTTATCAGTTACAGAATTCTAAGGACAGTCAGTAAGCATAGGTGGCTACTTAAGACAGTAACAAATTGATAGGGAAAAATAGAATACAAAGCTATACTTAAATGACTCACTCAACCCCATCCACCAAAGCAATTTTTTTCAGCAGACACATTTTTCCCCTCTCCTCCCCACCAAGTGTCAAAAGAAATTCAACCACTCCCAGCTTCCAAAAGCCACAGAGAGAAATAAAAAGATTATGATTAACTAAGAGAGTTCAAAGAACTATGCAGCAAGACAGTTTTACGAAAAGAAAAGGTAGAACAGAACAGACACTGTGGACTGAACGTGCTCCGGTGTAACTGTTTACTTCGTGTATAAATGCTTAGACAGAAACAATACCTAGTCCGAAAAAAGGCCAATTACTAAGGAGAGTTGCTCCCAAACCAAGAGAGCCTCTCAAACACATTTAGCACATTTAATAGAGGTAAGCCAGGCCCGAGCACTCGCCTTCTCCCTCTGCTCCTTCTTTGTAGAAAACATCTCATGCAGTGAATATTATCCCAGAAACCACTGAAATTCAACACTAATTTATAAAATGCAGCAATTTTATATTTTAATAATAATTTTTTAAGAGCCTGAAGCCTGAAAAGCTTGGAAATCTGTCCAAGTGATAAGGAAATTAGCAACTGTTTCAATGTTTTTAAAAATGTTATTCCTGCTTAACCAGCTCTGATCCCCACCCCACACCACGCCACTTTTGTATTCTTGGCCATTTGCTGCCATAAACTCCTACCCAAAAGAACCCTCTAGGTATCCACAGGGTTAGGGACAAAATAACAGCCAGAGGCAGATCACTCACTCCAGACCGCCCTGCACAGAAGTTCCTCCCATGTTAACTTTGTAAGGGTGTCCCTAACAGCAGAGAAATAAGATGTCAGGAATCTTGCTAACAAGTGCTCTGTTGTGTTGTTACAAAGTTTTCCTACGTTGAGAGGTTATTAGTGACACAAACAGCTTTTTATTCAAAAAGCACACAAATATATATTTTACATATTTAAATATCAGATATTTCTTTTTTTAAATAGGAAAATATATATTTAAAAAATTCAACAGTCTATAGGGGTGAGGAACCATTGTTCTGCCAAGGGCCATTTGGATATTTATAAAATTATCCCTGGGCCATACAAAATCATCAACTTAAAAACGTAGCATGTTGTATTTGGTCAAACCAAGACAGCCTCTCGAGCACATTTAATAGATGTAAGCCAGGCCCGAGCACTCACCCACATCTATTAAATGTTACTCACCCCTAATGCCTGGGCAGGGCCCGACCAAATGACTTCCCGGGCCTTTGCCCGCAGTCAGGACGTTCCCCACCCTGTAACACAATGGCGGAGTCCCTGACCAGGTAGCTCAGTTGGTTAAGGTGTCAGCCTGATACACAAAGGTTGCTGGTTCCATCCCCAGCGAGGGCACAACAAGAATCAACCAATGAATGCAGAAATAAGTGGAACAAAATCAAATCAATAAATAAAAACAAAAATTAAAAGGTGATTAAAATCTTTAGGAGCTAGCTTTTTGGTTGTTGTTGTAAGTCTTAATTAAATACAAATGCTCTCCCTATACAGTTTTCTTAACATCCCAAAGGAAAGAGAAAGGGAAATCAGTGAATGGTATGGTTAAACAGGTTCATTAAAACGGGACCTCCTTCAGCCCAGCCAATGTGGCTCAGTTGCTTGGGCATCTCCCGTGCTCTGAAGGGCTGACAGTTTGATTCTGATCAGGACACATGCCTGAGTTGCAGGCTTGATTCCCATAGGGAGCATCTGGGAAACGGCCATTCAGAGGCAGCCAACTGATTCACTCTCACATCAATGTTTCTCTCTCTCTCCCCCCCCCCCCTTCCTACTCCCCCCAATCTTGATTCCCTTCCTCTCTCTCTAAAATTCAATTTTTAAAAAATGGAGAAAAACAGAACACACAAAAGGACCCTCCGATATACCAAATATAACTTTGGTGAATGAAATAATGAGAGTGTGTCCTTTAATAAATAAAATAAAATCACATCCTTATTACCTAAACCATTCTCACCATGAAAATGTGACTTGAAACTAAAATCCTACTTTTAGGATGCAGACAAATTTGGAAGAGTGATGAGTCTAAAGGCTATCTTAGAGCAAATCCAAAAATTGCTCCGTAAGAGTCGTTAGCACAAAAATCCAAAATCCACTGGGGCTGATTTTAGAATGCTGGCACCTAACAATAAACAAGATTTAGTAATGGTTTAAATTAAGCTCCACCAATCCATTGTTTTTGATATGCCATTAGTTCTTTGCATAGCTCCCTTCACACAATATGAAAACAAATTCTCTCAATAAACATTTAACCACACACCTACTATACTGCTAAGTTCTGTCCCACAAGCTAGAAACACAGAAAAACAGCAATTTAAGGACTTAACCTGGTTTTCCTCAAATCTCTGATCAACTGGGAAAGCCAGTTTTTGACACATGTGCGAATGTCTGGATCCCAAAGTACTCATTTATAATCATCCTCATAATAGCGGTGGTTGTTTTTGTGCAGTGATAATCCAAACATTCTTTTTACCTTCATTAGCCTCTGGCCTTGAATTCTTAATATATGCAGAGAACTTGGCAAAGATGTCCATTCCAGCAGTATTTGATTCCGGGTGCTTTGGCGAAAGCTTTAAGTACCTAAATGGAAAAGTGATAATGTATTAAAGATCTCCGATAGATACGTGAGCATAAATCCCCTCAATCAACAAGCCGTTGTGCTAGCAGTTCCTGGACATCTTTTAACAGTTACTATTACTCTGAAAAATACCATCATGTTTTCTAGAATTTTTTTTTTAATAAAAAATAGGGTTTTTAAAAAAATATTTTTTAAAATGTATTTTATTGACTTTTTATGGAGAGGAAAGGAGAGGGATAAAGACACAGAAACATCGATGAGAGAGAGACATCAATTAGCTGCCTCTTGCACATTCCCCACTGGGGTTGTGCCCGCAACCAAGGTACATGCCCTTGACCAGAATCGAACCCAGGACCCCCCAGTCCACAGGCCGACGCTCTATTCACTGAGCCAAACAGTCCAGGGCTAGGATATTTTTTTAAAATATACTTTTATTCATTTCTGAGAGGAAGGGAGGGGAAGAGAGAGAAACATCAATGATGAGAGAGAATCACCAATTGGCTGCCTCCAGCATGTGCCCTAACTGGGAACTGAACCCCAACCTCCTGGTTCATAGATCGACATTCAACCACTGCAATAGCCACGCCAGTTTTCTAGGATATTTTTAAGATTTTTTTTTTTTAAAGGAAACAAAGCTCTCCACGGTATTTTTGTTCTTGACAATCAAAAGATATCCGCCCTCCACCTACATTTTACAAACTAAAACGCTGAGGAGACTGTCTACTTGTTCAGAGACTTGTGCCAGCCAACGGCACTTTAGAAAGAGATCCCGGCGCTAAGGAAGCTTTCTGTGATGACGGGAATATTCTATATCTGAATTGGCAATTGAATAAAGTCCAAAATTCACATTCTTCCAGCTGTAGAGCTTTTTTAAATAGGACGCTAGCCTGACGCTTGGTGTGTGGTGCCCTGAGCCAGCCCAGAGAACCTGGGAGCAGCAAAAGCCTAGGCTGGTCAGTATCTTGTCCATCCGGAGAGTTAGGGACCAAAACAGCAAGAGGTAGATCACTCACTTCAGATCGCCCTACACTCAGGATTTTCCAAAGCCTCTCATATATTACATTTTGTAAGGGGCACTGAGCAACAGAAAAATAAAATCTCAGGAATTTTGCCAGCAAGTGCTCAATCGTGCTGTTACAAAGTGCTGTTACTAATAACTTGGAGAAGTTATTAGTGATACAACAGCTTTTTAAAAATGACACAAATGTGTATTTTATGTATTTCCATTTAAAATACACATACCCGTATATTTTTTCCTCAAGTTGGAAAGTAGATGTAAAAAGTTTAACACTTTGCTCTTTCCTTTTTCTTTTTTTTTAATTAAATTATTATGTGTACATATTTTAACATTGCCTCCCCCTCCAATACATACCCTCCCTCCCCAGAGTTTTTTGTCCATTGGTTGTACTTATATGCATGTATACAAGTCCTTTGGTTGATCTATTATCTCCCCCAGATCTCCCTACACTCCCCGCTGTAATTAGACAGTTTGCTTGTTGCTTTACTGTCTTTATATCTGTCTTTTGGTTCATCAGTTTATAATGTTCTTTATTATCCATAAATGAGTGAGGTCATGTGGTATTTCTCTTTCATTGACTGGCTTATTTCACTCAGCATGATGTCCTCTAGTTCTATCCAGGTTGCTGCAAATGATGACAATTCCTTCTTTTTATGGCAGCATAGTATTCCATTGTGTAGATGTACCTTAGTTTTTGGATCCAATCATCTGCTGACGGGCACCTAGGCTGTTTCCAGATTCTAGCTATTGTAGATTGTGCTGCTATGAACATAAGGGTGCATATATCCTTTCTGATTGGTGTTTCTAGTTTCTTGAGATATATTCCTAGGAGTGGGATTACTGGGTCAAATGGGAGTTCCATTTTCAGTTTTTTGAGGAAGCTCCATACTGTCCTCCACCGTGGTTGCACCAGTCTGCATTCCCACCAGCAGTGCACGAGGGTTCCTTTTTCTCCGCAACCTTGCCAACACTTGTCGTTTGTTGATGTTGGCTATTCTAAAAGATGTGAGATGGTACCGCATTGTTGTTTTGATTTGCATCTCTTGGATAATTAGTGACTTTGAGCATGTTTTCATGTGCCTTTTGGCCTTCCTTCTGTCTTCTTTTGAAATTATTCTATTGAGGTCCATTGCCCATTTTTTAATTGGATTATTCATTTTCCTTTTATTTAGTTGTATAAGCTGTCTATAGATGTTGGAGATTAAACCTTTATCAGTGATAACATTTGCAAATATGTTCTCCCATACAGTGGTGGTCTTTCCTCTTGCATCAGCTCCAGGGACTCAGGACTGAAGGAATTCAGATTCAGACCACTTTAGGAAAGGCCCTCCAAAACTTCACTGAAAATGGGCTTTCGGGCAGTAAGACTTCAGAAAAATACCTTATATTGAACTCTAATTTAGGTTTATTTATATATTTCAAGGTACTCTTTTACCACTTTTCTTTAAATTAAAAAGGAAGATGAGGTATTTTTTAGATATTCAATTGCAAGGTGTGGTTTCAGGTCAGGTTTTATTTTTTATACTTTACTATTTTTGAATGCAAGAAATAATATATTTTCTAAAAACTGGACACAGTAGCCCTAGCTGATTTGGCTTAGTGGATAGAGTGTTGGCCTGCATACTGAAGGGTCCTGGGTTCATTCCCAGTCAGTGCACATGCCTGGGTTGCAGGCTCAATCCTCAGTAGGGGGCGTGCAGGAGGCAGCCAATCAATAATTCTCCCTCATCATTGATGTTTCTATCTCTCTCTCCCTTGCTCTCTGAAATCAATTTAAAAAATAATAATAATAAATAAAAATTGGACACAGTACACTATATGGGCAAGAAGAATAGAAAATATCTATGGAACATCTATATGTTCCAGCTATCTTTCTTTGTTAATATCTCTCAATTTAAAAAAAAAAAAATATATATATATATATATATATTGTTTTTTTTTTAATTGATATTTTACAGAGAGGAGGAAGGGAGAGAGATAGAGAGCTAGAAACATCGATGAGAAAGAAACATCGACCAGCTGCCTCTTGTACACACCCTACCGGGAATGTGCCCGCAACCCATGTACATGCCCTTGACCAGAATCGAACCTGGGATCTTTCAGTCCGCAGACAGACGCTCTACCACTGAGCCAAACCGGTTTTGGCAATATCTCTCAATTTTTAAGCTTAAAGATTTCTCTTATAAACAAAATTATTTAAGTATTTTTAGTGAGCAACTAGAGTAAATTAATTTTTCCCGAGCTTTTAGATATATATATACATATTACGTATTTTTGGTTTTTGCTCCGATCTATAGAAAACCTTATCCAAACACACACACTTTTTTTTGTTTCCCTGCCCGAGCTTTAACAGTGAATTCCTTCTTCAACATCCCCGGGTTTCCCTTGACTACAAAAACAACCAACTTCCAACTTAAATGCTTTCACCACTGGTAATACAGTACCTTCATTGACTCATTCCAACAGAAAAATAGTGCAAGAAACCTGAGTGCCTACCCAAATATATTTATGTCCTTCTCTAGCCAAGTTTCCAAAATTAGCCTTCCTTTCCCCAACCAATATTTAGCTGTACGAACTTTTTCTACTGAAGTAAACTTCATAATTCTCAAAATAACTTACAGGAAGGTAGGCTTACATTACAGATCGTGTATATATTCACTATTCATATATACGTAACACTTATTCTAATTATTTTTTAAAAATATATTTTATTGATTTTTTACAGAAAGGAGAGGGATAGAGTTAGAAACATCGATGAGAGAGAAACATCCATCAGCTGCCTCCTACACGCCCCCTCCTGGGGATGTGCCCACAACCAAGGTACAAGCCCTTGACCGGAATTGAACCTGGGACCCTTCAGTCTGCAGGCTGATGCTCTATCCACTGAGCAACACTGGTGAGGGTATTTATTCTAATTACTATCTATTATGTGTCAGGCATTGTACTAAGTGCTGGGATGTAATGATGAGCATTTCTATATGAATACACTTAGAGATCAGTTTTGATGAATAGGTAAAAATGAAGGACTGTCAATCAGCATATCCTTATTCATATGGAAATAAATGCTATCAAAAAAATTTTAAAACATTGTCTCTAAAGCAGGTTAAACATGCCCTGTTTTTGCCTTCCAAGACAAAAAGTGTATGTGCATACAATACTACAGCTACAAGAGACCATCTCGATGTTTCATTTTGCCTAAAAGTAATTATTTTCCAGCCCCAAAGTCCTGAATTAAAAGTTTTCCCAAACTAAAACACACGTTTTTCCTCTCCTCAGTTGCAGTGTTGTTAAAACATAAATCAGCCCATCTAGTGTGCTCAGTGGTTGAGCATTGACTTATGAACCAGGAGGTCGTGGTTTGATTCCCATCAGGGCACATGCCCAGGTTGTGGGCTTGATTCCCAATAGGGGTATGCAGGAAGCAGCCAGTCAATGATTCTCTCTCATCACTGATGCTTCTATATCTCTCTCCCTTCCTCTCTAAAATCAGTAAAAATATATTTAAAAACATATCACTAGATTTTAGTAAGTCATCAGTTATTATTAGTTTTAGCAGATAGCTTGATAAAACAATAATTTTCAATTATTGTAACAATCATTTTAACATTTAATAAAAGGAAGGTAACTAGTTAATAAAAGCTATGTGTCAACCATAGAATGGACTTGAGCATCCAGGGTATTTAGACTTTTAGATTAGTCCTTTACTTTGTATTAATGATAGAATACCTAATAATATTTCCATCATTTTAGGAAAGATTTCATATATTTTCTCCTTTCTCATACTAATGTAAGAGTAAAGTCTGGTTATACAGCTTATTAAATTATCCTTATAAATTTAACTTTTTTTTTTTGTAAGAGAAAGTTTATTTAGAAAATCAGAGGTTGCCCTAACTGGTTTGGCTCAGTGGATAGAACATCGGCCTGTGGACCAAAGGGTCCTGGGTTGGATTCCAGTCAAGGGCACATGCTCAGGTCATGGGCTCGAACCCCAGTAGGGGGCGTGCAGGAGGCAGCTGATCAATGATTCTCTCATCATTGATGTTTCTAACACACTCTCTCCCTTCCTCTCTGAAATCAATAAAAACATATTTAAAAAAAGAATATTCATCATCCATGTAAATAAATTTAACTTTCATTACCTGTGTTTCTCATTTTTAAAAAAGGCTTCATAATACCTTTGAGAGCTCTTCTCCAAAAGTACCTAGCTTTCTCTATCCTTTTATCAGTAAGTTAGCCAAGTGCATAGTCCTGCTTTAGTTAAAATTCCAAGTTTCAAAGCTTTTTTGGGCAGGGGTGGAGAAGGCAAAGTAGTTCCTTCATTCAAGCAAGGGAAGCTAAAAACAAAAACATAAACACTTTCCCCATAGAAGAAAAAAGCGAAAGCTTCTTCTTAAAACCTATAGTTACACTGACCAGCAAAAGCTGCTTGATTTAAGCGTTCCCTTAGTCTGTAAATTCAAAACAACTCTGGAACAGACAGTTGCCTGTATTTATATTTGTCCTGACTAAAGCAGAAGTGCTCACATAAAAACACTCTGTTCTCATTATCATCAAATGCCAAAACCATTTATTAGAAATGCTAGATTTTCATTTACCAGCGTGTAGAACACTTCTGCCTTTTCGCCTCATCCTATTTGGAAACAAGAAGGCTTACAATTTTGTGAGGAGGATCAGCCAGAGTTAAGGCCCTGAAGGTCTACCTGTTCTAAGTGACAGTGCGCAGGACGGTCCCTGAATGCCACGGACAATAAAGGGAAGGGAGAGGAACGCATGCCACAGTCCCAGGAACCAGCCTCCTCCTAGTCCTCCTCAAAATACAATTCTACGTGCAGAGACCACTGTGCCGCCTGCCCACGGAAAGGAAGGAATTCCCAATCCGAACATGCTGCTGCAATGCATACAAATAAAAGCTCCTCAGAAGTTAAACCTCACCTACTTTTTAAAAAGGACTCATTCAATTCAGTTTGACAACCACCTTCCGTCCAACCTGCTCATCAGAGTAAAGGAAATTTCTAGGATTTCTCTTCAACCCTTCCTTTAAGCTCGAGCTAGCCTTCAATTTGGTACTCTTTAAAGCATAATCCCACTTAAAGACACATTCTACCTCTTTCATAAAAGTCACACTCAATGAAATGAGAATCGGAAAGAAGACAATAGGAGAAACAGGGGTTTTTGAAGTTACCTAAACCTGGCTTTGGAAGTAAGTACGTCAGCTCTGCCACCGTTAACCTTGGACAAATTGTTTGCATTACTCATCTTCGGTTTCTTCATAAAGTCTTTGAGAGGATTGAGATAATCCAAAAAATAACCCATAATGCACTGTACGCAAGGCACATAATGGTACTTGAATGTTAGTTAATAACAGCAGAGGTATTAGCAACAGCAAAAACACTCCTTTCTAAATTAAGTAAATTATAAAATTATTTAGAAACTCTCTTTTTGATTATAAGCTACAACATAAAAACAAAGAAATTACCCTTAGAGAGAATTTAGCACACTGTGAACCCTGTATAACAGAAAGATCTCCAAGTTTTAAATTAAATTAAACTGAAAGAAAAGACTATTTCTGGTTAATGTATCTCTATGAATACATCCAAACAAAATGAGGCTGAAGTTTCTATATATAAAAAGCAAGCCAAAATCGGTTTGGCTCATTGGTTAGAGCGTCGGCCTGTGGACTGAAAGGTCCCAGGTTTGATTCCGGTCAAGGGCATGTACCTTGGTTGTGGGCACATTCCCAGTCGGGTGTGTGCAGGATGCAGCTGATTGATGTTTCTCTCTCATCAACATTTCTAACTGTCTATCCCTCCCCTCTCCCTTCCTCTCTGTAAAAAAAAAAAAAAAAAAAAAAAAAAAAAAAAAGCTAAGTGAAAATGTTTATTTCCATGGTCCAATTCAAAAACCAATGTCAGGAAACCAAAATATGTTGATTTTAGATATATTATCTTAATGTCCATTTCCTCTGAGAAAAACAATAAGAAGGTCTAATAAAAATTACTTTTGTTGTTGTTGCTGTTGATGATGAAAATGTCCATTTGACTGAAATGGTATATAAAGGTATCAGCATACTGACTTAAAAAACAACTCTCTTGGGAGAATTTACCCATTTAACACTTCAGACAAAACACAGTTTTCTTCACAGCGGATGGCAAGCCATTCAAACTGTCGCTGTTTATAATTTAATGTTGGTACATGCTCTACAGTTACAGGAGAGGAGGATCACTTTCATCACTGTCTGAGGACAAGCAGACAAATGTGCAGCTTCCCTCAGGGCCGACAGACTTTTAAGAATTAAAAAGGGATCTAGTAGGTTCTATGATACAACATTCTTTCATAAGTTATTTCTTCTAAGTTGGATATAGGGCTGTAACAGCTCCTTACTGATATGTATAAACCTACCATTTACATTTTGCAAATACAAAGACCTCAGTATGGATTTACTGGTATTCTGCTTATATACCAGGTCTGCAGGAAAAGAAAAGGTACAGTTTTATTAGTGTTGGTCTGAGGAAACATGACTGGGGATGGAAGGAAGGTTTGGACTCCTGGTAAGTAGAGGTAAAAGAAGTTTGAAGCTCTTAGAAAAACAGGAAGGAAGGCAGAGAACAAGCTTTTATAATATAGGAGTAAGAAAATGAAATTTTAAGCTGGTACAAGATTGCTAAACAGGCCAATTCTGTTCTCAATGGAAGATGGGTTAGATACCGTCAGGTCTCCAAAAGAAACACTATTGACTCAAAATTATTCTCCTGCCTAGAATGATTGCCATTCCTTCCCTCACCTGCTGAATGCCATTTTTTTTTTTAACTAAAGTTTAATTCAAATCATCTCTAAAGCCTTCCCCAATTGCACTCACTTTCTTTCCTTTTTGCCATTTAATCATTTATTTTTCAGTTACAGTTGATCCACTCACTTCCCCAAACCGCAACCAGCACTACCACCATCCATATTTGTGTTTCAGGAATTATGTCTGATTCATTATTGTGTCCACAGGGCTTTGTTGCCCAATAACTGTTTGCACAGTGAGTGAATGAACGAACATTGAGTCATTTGTTAATTTTGAAACTTCTGACTCAATAACCCCATTTCTGGGAAATGTATCTGGTTATAGAAGATAAATGATGGTAACTAGCAAGAAGGGCATGGATTGGGGGAGGGGAGGATTTTTTTTTTTCTTTTTCCAGTTTTGAAGATAATGAAACTGGAAAAGCCTAAAAGAATTCAGTAATACTTTAAAACAATGCCAAGATTACAGTATGATGCAAAACTGCCTATCTGCAACTTAACTAATTGTCATGAGAGTTTACCTAGTCTACAACTGTACTTTACATTAAAGGAAATAGAACTATAAAACTGTTAACAACCATGTAGGACCTGGGATCTAGAACAAACACCTCAAAGAAGTACATACATGCAAAGTTATTCCCAGGGACCGGTCTAAAAAGTCAATTCCCCTGGGCGGTAGCTTCAGAGCGTTCCCTTTGAAATGACCTGTGAGAAAGCCCCAGCAGCCTGTACCACACCTGCTCACACATCCTGGCTGGGCTCAGTTTAAAGCTGCCTTTCCCCATCTCTTCTCCTCCCTAAACTTCTCTTTCAACTTGGAGCCAATGTCCTTCAAACAAGCAGTCTTCCCTGACCGATCTCACATGCCCCAAACCTACTTACACCAGCTTCCTACCTAATGCTGACATTTGTGTAGAATTAATTACAATGAATGAAGAGAAGTCCTAGTCATTCCAACTTAACACTGTGAGAATTTAACTCAAATACCAATCAAGACAAAACTTTAAAGAAATGGAAGAATTTCCATGCATTTTTCTTTTCCTTTTTTTAAGATTTCTTTTTTCTTTTTTTATTGATTTTCTTACAGAGAGGAAGGGAGAGAGATAGAGAGCTAGAAACATCGATGACTGAGAACATCGACCAGCTGCCTCTTGCACACCCCCTATCGGGGATGTGCCCACAACCAATGTACATGCCCTTGACCAGAATCGAACCTGGGACCTTTCAGTCCGCAGACCAACGCTCCACCGCTGAGCCAAACCGGCTTCAGCTCCATGAATTTTTCGTTGATACTCACTTGGGAGGGCATAAGACTTCTTCAAGAAATTCTTCAATCTTATTTACATCCGTTTTGACTTCATTGTTGAAAGTTATAAATGGTGGATGGGTCCCAGGAGCCAAGTTCTGCAGGTCTACAGGCTTCCTGTTAAGCAAAAACAGTAGTCAGAACTGGACAGAAGGTGTATCAGGTCATCAAGCAAAGAGAATCTAAGATTCTTCAGCTTCTGGTTCTCACCTGGCACTCTGAGGCCTCGGGTGTTTTGTTTGACCCACAAAGGCTCATTTTACTGATGCTTTCCAAACACTTAACATTTCAGGAACTGCTGTGTGAGATCAATGAAACTGAACTGATAGGCAATGGCTAAAAATGTATAAATCTTTGGTTTATATCATGAAAGATCTTCAATAAATATTCAACAATTCAGTTGAACTCATTCAAATGTTTGCCTTGAGTGACATATCTAGAAAAAGCAAAATACACAGAATTCATGCCTCCACATAAGAGCAAAAAATGTACTTCAATGTTTGTGGGATATTATTTTTTGTTCTTTTTTTAATGTTTTATTGATTTTAGAGAGGAAGGGAGAGTGGGTAAGAGAGGAAGAGAAACATAGATGTGAGAAACATCTATTAGGTGCCTCACACATGTACCCGAATGGGGACTGAACCCGCATTCTGGTTATGTGCCCTGACCGGGAATCAACCAGCAACCTTTTGGTCCAGTGGATGATGCTCAAACAACTGAGCCACACCAGCCAGGGCTGAATTTTTTTTTTTTTTTTAATGTTTCTTACCAAGTAGACCTTTTTTTTTTTTTTTATAGTAGGAATAATTTAGATTAAATATTCTGTTCTCTACCATTTTGTTCCCAGGTGAAGAAAAGGAAATAAAGAGAAACAAACAATAAACAGAGAGAAATGAAAAGGAGGAACCTTACAGGAGCAAATACTTTGAGCAACTTAAGTGGCTTAACATCAATTAAAATTTAATTGGGTACTCTTGCACAAACTGGGGGCCGTGGGGCTGGTGGCTCAGGTCCAGCTGCCTGGTTTAAGAGGAGTGCAGCTTGGCGACAGGACACTGAGGCTGATTCTTAAAGATGCCCTGTCTGTATTTAGTTGACTCACTAAATGGAGAGAAAAAATATTAAGTATGTAGAACTTCCCCTTTCCTTCTGAAGGTGCTGAGTTTCAATGCATAATATTAATTCACATAAATCAAGAGAATACTGGACACTACAAAACAAATGAGCAAAAACAAGTTAACATCATAAATCCTTTATTTCAATTTATTCCTATTACTTATTCTTCATTAGCTTTGCTACTTTCTAATAGTAAAGCCACTTACTGAATCAGTAGATTTGGACTCACCAAAACACACACCAGATCCTAGTTACCAAGCATTTATCTATTTGTACTAGTTCAATCAGTTAAAGGATTTTACTTATTTTGATCAATGTGGTATACTGTTGATCTGTCTACTTTAATGTTGGTTTGTGGTGCAGTTGTTTTAAAACAAAACAGCACCCATGAGAAGGTTTCAAATACAGCTTCTATAATTCTTAACAGATTTTATTAGCACAGCTTACAAGTAGTTATATTAATAACAGAGTTAGAAAAATATTCACTAACATATTTCTAATTCAGCTCTTAGTGGCCTCAACAGTGTTTATCATCTTTGAAATAATCTTGAAAAACAACATAAAGCCAAGTTCTCCCGCTCTATGTATTTGTCTCTTTCACACACACACGTGTGCATGGGATATACATGATTCAGGATGCATTAGTGAGACATATATCTTCAATTGTTAGAATTAACAGGGCTTCCTTAAATCAAATTTACAAAGGGCAAGAATGGAGTTTGTCCTTTCCTGGCTGGGAGCAGTAGGAAATGGATGATCTCTAAAAGGCTGGCCTGGCGGTTTGTTTGCTGAGCTGTCAATGGAAGACCGTGTAATTATTCCCGAGCTTTACAATGAGAGTGTGAAAACCGGGGGAGGAAATAAATAAATAAATAAATAATAAAAGGCTGGCCTGTTCCATCCATTTAGTCTCTGTGTGTCAGTCACATGGCTGTTTCTGAAGAACTACCTGGAAGCCGAGACAGGTTTGGCTCAATGGATAGAGCGTCGGCTTGGGGACTGAAGGGTCCCGGGTTCGATTCCGGTCAAGGGCATGTACCTTGGTTGCAGGCATATCCCCAGTAGGGGGTGTGCAAGAGGCAGCTGATCGATGACTCTCTCTCATCTATGTTTCTAACTCTCTATCTCTCTCCCTTCCTCTCTGCACAAAATCAATAAAATATATTAAAAAAAAAAAAAAAAAAAAACTACCTGGAAATCAAACTGACCTCTCAACTTGCTGAAAGCTGTTTTCAGAAAGTTAGAACCATAGACATGATAATGAAAGCAAACTATGTAAGGAATCTATTTTGAAATCAGATTTTGTTCTAAGTTTATAACGGCCCTTTAAGATATGCAGAACTATTATTTTATCATTTCATTTGTAACATCTTAAACTATTACTAAATTGTGAAAGATTAAACTACCATAACCTTCTAAACAAGTGGTCAGCAAACTGCGGCTGACGAGCCACATGGGGCTCTTTAGCCCCTTGAGTTTTTAGCAAAGGCCAGCTTAGGAGTACCTTAATTAGGTTATTAACAATGTACCTGCCTATACAGTTTACGTTTAAAAAAATTGGCTCTCAAAAGAAATTTCAATCATTATACTGTTGATACTTGGCTCTGTTGACTAATGAGTTTGCCAACCACTGTTCTAAACCTTTATGCCATTATTATGGCAACTTACATGTGGGTCTGACTCACATAATATGTTACAATTTGGTATGTTGACATTTAAAACAAGAAAATCAGTAATGACACTGCAAAGGAGGGAATAGTTTCAGTGTTTAAGGTGGGGATGAGGAAATGGAAACGTGTGTTTCTCTGACTTTTTAAAAAGTGGTCTCCAATTTACTTTTTCTCCTCAGAAAATACCATGGAGGGGGACTTTACTCACTAGTAAAATAGCAGATATCACTGCTTTTACAATAAAGTCAATACCTTAAAAGTTATCATTTCTACTCTCATTTCTCAAAACCAGAGTTTACCCCAGCAAGTATGTGACAAAATATGGCCACACCCAGCTATTGCCAAGGCAATGTCTCAATTTCTCTTTCTTTTTCTTTCTTTCTCTGCCTCTCCCTGTTCTCACACTTTCTTCTTTCTCTCCTTGCCTACATCTCAGGTTTATCTGGGCTCTAGAAATGCTAATCTCTGATTTATGAACTTCTGAGCATAATGAAGATAGCGTTAAGTCTTCAAATAAAGATCTTGGTCGCTGCCAGGAACCTGTCAGTCAGAAAGACCCTATAGTAGCAGTGTTATTTAAAAAAATAATAATTACATTCAGTAGCAGGTCTGAAAACGGTTTAATGAGAATAGTCAGAAGTACCCTGAACGATGGTTAGCACATAACAGACCGAAGAAACAATGTTTCCCTTCCTTTTTCCTGATTTTAAAAATGAGACAGCCAAGACCGGTTTGGCTCAGTGGATAGAGCGTCAGCCTATGGACTGAAAGGTCCCAGGTTCGATTCCAGTCAAGGCATGTACCTTGGTTGCAGGCACATCCCCAGGAGGGGGTGTGCAAGAAGTGGCTGATCGACGTTTCTCTCTCATCGATGTTTCTGACTTTCTATCCCTCTCCCTTCCTCTCTGTAAAAAAAAAAATCGATAAAATATATATAATAAAAAAGAGAGCCGAAACCGGTTTGGCTCAATGGATAGAGCGTCGGCTTGGGGACTGAAGGATCCTGGGTTCGATTCCGGTCAAGGGCATGTGCCTTGGTTGCGGGCATATCCCCAGTGGGGGGTGTGCAAGAGGCAGCTGATTGATGACACTCTCTCATCGATGTTTCTAGCTGTTTATCTCTCTCCCTTCCTCTCTGTACAAAAACAATAAAATATATATATATATATATATATATTTTTTTTTTTTTTTTTTTTTTAAAGAGAGAGACAACTGACTTCCCAGAGGAGAGGCTTGCCCAAGGTCCCAGGGCTCTCAAACACAACCAGGTCCTGCCCCTGACACCTGCTGCTACGCACGGATGCTCCCCTTTGAGGACATGTGATAACATCTTTAAACACTCCCTCAAATTTTAATGTTTTCACTTATTTATCTGAAGTTTTTATTCAAATGGTGGTTGATGTAACACCCAAATTTCTCCTGAAGCTTGGACACTGTTTTGAATCCAAAAGTTCTGTAATGCAATTGTAGAGTGAACAGAAAATTGGGTTTAAAAATGACTCCCACTGAAGCACTAAGGCAGCACGCAGGCGAGCGACGGGAGACTGTTCCAGTTCCACAGGCACATGAATGCTACCAGCACAGCCATTAACACCAATTGAGATTCAAAGAGAAGTGTCACACGGTGCCAGAGCTGGCTTGATTTTTATGGATGAAATGTCATGTAACAATAATTTTCCAGAGCACAGAGTGGGTTTTTAAATAGCTCTCAGGAAAGTTCTATTGCTCACACGTTTCACTGAGGAATTAGCCAATGGATCAGAAAAAAGCAGGAAAGTAAGCACTATAGGCATTTTCTCCCACAGCTTCCTATAAACATAGTTAAGACTATATTATGAAAAGTACTTTTCACTACAGGATGCTGTATTCCTCTGTGACAATTTAATTTTACAGCTTTTTTTTTAGCCAATGTTCACTTTCTTTTTGAAATCTAACTAAAGACTCTGAGTGAGTAAACTCATAGAAAAAGGATTAGAAGGATAAAGACCAACTCTAAATATATATTTTTTCTACTTTTTTTTTTTTCCATAGAGGAAGGGAGAGGAATAGACAGATAGAAGCATCAAGGACAAAAGAGAATCAATGATCGGTTGCCTCCTGCACTCCCCACACTGGGGATTGAGCCAGCAACCCAGGCATGTGCACTTGGCTGGAATCGAACCTGGGACCCTTCATCGAACCAGGCTGATGCTCTATCCACTGAGCCAAACAGGCTAGGGCAAAACCAACTCTAAATGTAATGATATCTAAGAAGTAGTATAATAGTTGATGACTAGGGGTGGAGGGACTCATCATGTACTGCTTGTATATTTTCAATTGCCCTAAGAACCAGTTTTAAATATATATACTATAGACCTAAGATTTCTAAAGAAAACTAAAAAATACAGGCTCTCTTATTAGTGTACTCGGTTGATTTTACAAAAAGCCCTAGGAAATAAAATTACTTTCTTTGAGTGGTAGTATTTTCTAACATGAGGCCCTGAATTTTTCATTGTACTTCCTGTGTCACTTGAGAGAGAGAGAGAGAGAGAGAGAGAGAGAGAGAGAGAGAGAGAGAGAGAGGTAAGAAACATCAATCATTTGCCTTGAACCCACAACCTGGATATGTGCCCTAACAGGGAATTGAACCCACCACCTTTCCATGTATAAAACAATGCTCCCAACAAGTGAGCCACACTGGGGGCTCATGTGTCACTTTTGACATGTAGGGTACATACACTTAAACATATGCTCTAATATCAACCAACTTACTGGAATAATGCCTTTTAAGAAGTTTGTAAATGAAAAGTAAAACCAATGACTTTGAAATAGGCATTATGTGTTAACTTCCTTTTCTGAACCAGACGGTCATCATTTATGGCACCACTGCTGGTATGCACCACAATCAGGCACTGTATTGAGCTGTTGAAAGGATTTTTGGAAGCATGGCAGTCAACTCACTTGCTCCAACCCAAAAATGGAATAGGAGAAATACATGTATTTTAAGATACAGCCAGGGCGTGTGCCTGGCAGCATGGTCTATTTTTAGAAGTTATATTGGGAAACTTCTTTGCGAATGCATGTAGGAAAAAAAAAGTAATCGAAGGTAACTCCATGAATTATTTCATTCTTACAATAGCTCTGTCCAAAGAACCGGTAGTTTTAACTCTTACTATCCATGCATATACATAACTAATGGGGTTCCTGGAAAAGTTCATGGCTCATTTTCAATCAATAAATCCGAAGTCTGTTTTCAAACTGTGCACGAGCAGTAAGAAAGGAATAAGCTGAAAGGAGATGACAGGTGTCCCAGGGATTGCTGACCTAGAACTGGGAGTAAGTCCACAGCTCTCAAAAACGCTCCCTCTGTGATGCCCAGAGGGAGATCATAGAGGAATTCTGCCATCCATTAAGTGAAGGCCAGTCCATAGCTTTTTCTTGAACACTGTTCATGACTGATATGCTTTAAAATAAGCAGCAAACCATGTTGCATCAAGAGGAACACATTTCCATTGCTGAGTCCTAGACTATCGGTATAACTGTTCTTATTGGGCAACGTATAAAGGGGAACTTGTGTGTCTCTCTCCTTGATTTAAATCTTTTTTCTTTTAGTATGAATGTTCTTCACCTCAGGAGGAACAGGAGCTCCTCAGTAACAAGACTTACTACCTCTAAGGGCTCTCCTTAGCCTTCTCTCTCTCCACTAGGCTCTATGGCCAAAGTGAGAAATAACTCTTCAACTAGCAAGGACCATCACAGCCATGGATAATTGCTCTTATTTTACTGTAATACTTAACCAAATATGGTGGAAATTGTATTATTTAAAAATGCCATTTTATTTCCTGGAAAGGAGGTTAAGTAAAATAGACCAAGCAGTTTTTATCCTCCTAAAATCTGATATTCTTGCCTTTAAGGGTCCGGATTATATAGGCCCCGTGTTTAGCAAACGAGATCAAGAAGGTGTCAGCTTAGAAAGTTCTTCACAGACCCCTGTTTACATAGGAATGGCAAAGATTTCACTGCACCCACACCAAAGCTTGGCTCCCGGTGCTGCTCTTGAAATGTAAGGTAAACATACAACGACTTCCTAAAAAGACTGAGTGGCTACATGCAATTTACTGAATTGTGAATTACCATATACTTAATACAAGTTAAGTTTGTCCACACATCAGCTGAACTTTAATACAACATATTTTCTTCAGAGAACATATAGGGAGCAAAGTGAGGGATGGGGAACGGCTCAAATTGAAAAAGAGTAATCTGTATATATCAGGTAACCCACCACATCTTACCTTTTCAGGTCAACAGTTGTGACGCTAAATACTACTCCTTTGAGCCAAAGAATCATGAAGAGCCTCTGGGAAAAGGGGCAGTTTCCTATGCTTTCACCATCGCTGCCAGCCTGGGAAACAGAAATCAACATTAAGAAACAAGGTCAAAGTGATGACATTCAAAATAATAGACCTTTTTCTGAGCTTTAATCAAGTGTACAAGACAGGAAATGTTGCACTACGGAGGAAGGGTAGAAATTCGGGTCTTTATTATTTTGCTCTTTCGTTTGCCTCTTTCTCTTTTTAAAAATGTCCTGTGTCGTATATTAGTATAGACTGTCCAAGAGAACTTTTGCAATGATAAGAATTATCTCTATTACCGTGTCCAATATGGTAATCATTTGTGACATGTGGCTTAATGAGTACTTGAAATGTGGCTGGTTCAACTGACCTAAATTTTTATTTACTTTTAATCAATTTAAATGGTCAGGTCACGTGTGGGTAATTAGTCCCTAGGGAATACATACATCCTTGCCCCAGAGCAAAGACAAAGTCTACCATGGGTTTTATAAAATGCAAATCATTTATTGTTCTATGACAGTGTTTCCCAAACTTTTGACAGATGTGTACCCCTTCTATCATTTTCGTAACACTGAGTACCCATCGTACTCATGAGAACGTAGAATTAGGTGCAGCTAAGCACGGTGCAGTGCATATCCCACCAAACTCCGGTGCAACGCGTACCCCCACCAAACTCTTCCGTACCCCTGGGGGTACGTGTACACTTTGGGAAACACTGTACTATGAGATAATCTTCTTTATAGGGCAACATATAAAGGGAAACTTGTAGGTGTGTCCAAAGAGTTACATTACCTGCCAGCCTCCCCCCATTCTAAAAAATATTCCCTATAAAAATGACCTGTCCTGTTTACACATTCCTTCAGGGAAAGAAGAAAAGAACAAGCGTAGCTTTACAATAAGCCATTTGTACTAATCCAACTAATGAACGCAGCAGTTGACTTCACCGAGTTCAACAATGAAGTAGAATTTTCCTAAAAATCAGAGTGGAACAAATCTTTAATTCCATCACGTGGGCCCAAGTTTAAAAAGAAAAAAGGAGGGGGAATGGGAAGTGGGGGTTGGAGAGAGCCAGCTGCTGGCAGAGAACATTCTGACACTTGCTAGGGCCCAACACAGCCCTTTTCACCATGAGGTCCGTGGAGAAAGCCAGAAATAACTTCCAACGAGTCATTCAAGGATGCTGAGAAAAGCACCGTTCATTATTTCATTATCCTGCAGTAACTCTCAAAAAACTCACATCCAGTTAAGTCATTAATTCCTAACCAATGGTGAAATGGGGAATGGGAGTGGCAGAAGGATATAAATAATTAAAGCAGTTACCTGATTGCCCAGCAAAACAAACGGGCATATAAGGACCCCAGAATCCTGCCCTAACCACACAGTATGGGATAGTTACAACTGAGCTTGGAGGGAAAAAATTTATCATTCTTTTTCAGAAACAAAACACACACAGAATTGTAGCCAGAATGAATCTTATTAATTTCTAATACTGCAACCTACACAAAATTACTTCCTAAAGAAGTCCTCGTTCATAAACTGTAGAGTGATTGAAAATAACCTAGAGAAAACACTTAATAAGGAAGATTTCTGTGCCTTACATGCAGAGATTCTGCTCCAGAAGAATTCCCAGGGTGAGGCCCAGGGCGCCCGAGGAGATCCCAAAGTAAGGCATCTGCTGGACACGGTGAGGAGCACTGGTGTGAAAGGTTAGCACAGTATTCCTTTATTTTATTTTTATTATTCTTTTGATTTCAGAGAGGAAGGGAGAGAGATATATATAAACATCAATGATGAGAGAATCGTTGATCGCCTGCCTCCTGCATGCCCCGCACTGGGATGTAAGCCTGCAGCTTGGGCACGTGTCCTGACAAGGAATCGAACCATGACCTCTTGGCTCATAGGTCGACACGTATCTTGTTTGTAGAATCAAACCAGCAACATTTTGGTGTATCAGGCAACCCTCCAATCAACTGAGCCACCCGACCAGAGCTACATAATTCCATATATAGGAAATGTCCAAAATAGGCAAATCCATAGAGACAGAAAGTAAATTGGAGGTTGCCTAGGGCTTATGGGGGGGGGGGGGGGGGTGAGTTAGGGAGTAACTGTTAACAGGCACAAAATTTCTTTCTGGAATGATAAAAATGTTCTAAAATTAGACTGTGGTGGTAGTTGGAAAACTCTGTGAATAGACTAAAAATAACTGAATTGTATACTTTAAATGAGTTCATTGCATGATCCATGAATTACACCTCAACAAAACTGCCTCCAAAATATATAGACACAAATTCCAAGTATAAATATACATATCTGGACACCATTTTAATTTAGAATGTATATTTTAAAATTATAATTTCATCTTATAAGAAATTAATGTCTATAATTTTCCCTAAAAATCAGAAAACACAAATAAAGCAAAAACTTGGATAATCCCACTGACACAGAAATAATCACCAATTTCCAAATAAAAGAATCAGCATTCATTTGGGTTTTGTTCTTATAAAGGAGGTAGTTTTGACTACCAAGCTGTCTGGTGTTCTTCTCACACAATTATTATTTGCCCTCCTCCATCAGAACCTATGTTGTAATTCTTGAATTGCCTAACACCACTATTTAACTATAAACTGCTGGATTAACTCCTACATTGCAGAAAAGGGGTCAGTGGTAGATGCCATAAATATTTTAATGTTTTACTAATTCAAAGTTAAGGAACTGCTCACTTAGAAAACCCAGCTTAAGCTGTTTATAGAAAGTCAGATCTTAAAACACCAAAGAAGCTCTTCAACTTCATTCCTCTCTATTTCTTTGAGTTTATGGGACTGGGGGTGATGGGGGAGGGTTGATGATGACGAGGGGGAAAGAGGCTGCCTCTGGAGGTAAGAATGGGCTTCTGACCATAAAATCATTTCCTTTGACACATTCTCTAGGAAATGTATAAAATAATGTGTTGCCAAAAAAAAAAAAAATGCACTCAAAAAAAAATTTTTTTTAATTGTTTGACTCCGCAAAAATCAGAAGGCACTAATGGACAGCCAACCCATCCCATGGTGCTCTGAGTGAAGATAAGTCAGCTTAGATATATGATGGACTAAAATCCCACTACTTAAGTGCACTCAAAATTTAAAGACCTCATTTAACCTTTAGTGTGGAATTATCTAATTAGCTATCTAAATACACAAAAGAGCTTGCTTTGACTTAGATTAACTTAAAAGTCACAAAACAACATGACACATGGTAGTCACCTGGCTTCTATTATCTATTTCTTTGGTTTTTGCTACACACATGTTGAAACCAAAGTCTAGAGTCTAAAGGTTTGTTTAATAAGCTGTTATCTTTCTACAGGGTCTGTGGAAAATAGGTGGGAAATAACAAGGTTTAGAATCAGACAAACCTGACTTTACTACTTATTAGCTAACTAATCTTCATTTTAACATTACTTAACATCTCCTTGATCATACTTGAAGTCAAATTTGAAACTTGACTTCATACACCTTTTATTACGGGGCTCAAACTACTTAAGGTACACACACAGTTCCTGGCACATGGTAAGAGCTTAGTAAATGTTACCTAACTTTAAAGATACTTCTTGCACAGAACTCAAGGCCTAACAACCTGTTCTTCAATTGAAGCCCTTACTTATCTAAAATAATCTACTAAAATCTATAGTTATTGCTAAAATCAATAAGATTCAAAGTGGCTTGGATATTATTGAAGGAAATAGCTAAAATATACAATTTAGCCAATTTTATAAGTTAAATGTCATGGTCTAGAAAAACAACTTTTTAAAAGCACATTCTTCCTCCCACAACTATCCAACGTTAAATCTGTTGAACAGAAGAGATAATTCGTCTTCCAGTAGTTTAAAATATTATCTGTTTCGGTTTCCTTCAGTAAATGTCTAAATTATGATTCAACTAGTGGCCTGGTGCACAAAACTCATGGACATTAAAAGGGAATTAGAGGAAATATTTTAATATTGCTATTTGCCCTTTCTCTATAATAGGAGCGTCGGAGATGAAAGAAAATTAGTAAATTAGTAAAATGTATATGAAAATCTTCCTCCTGCCAGAGTCAAGTCCCCACCCACCCACAGTGCCTCAAAACTGCACGAGACCCAGACCCAGGCATCCATTCTTCCCCAATGGACAAGGAGATGATGGTCCAATTCTAGGGGTAAATCCTGATTGAGCCTAAGCCAGTCATGACAATTCCATTCCTCTTCCCAGTGACTTAGTATATGCTAAGTAAAAAACGTATTCCTGACTTCATGGAGCTTGGGGGAGGGGGTACTACAGAATGGGGTAATGGGATACCATTGAAGGGCTTTGGTGGGTGGAGACGTGAGCATAAAATCCCATTTCCACGTTCAGATTATAAATAACACTTGCTACCATATGGAAAACAGGCTGGGGGCACGGAACTGATGGAGAATGGGAGCTGGGAGGCCTACTGCAGTAGTCACAGAGAAATGTGGCCTGGATTAGTAGATTGAACTGAATTCTGAAGGTATAACCCTAAAGACTTGTGGATGGTTTGGATGTGAGAAGTGAGGAAAAGAAAGAAATCAAGTAACTCTTAGAATTCTGATTTGAGCCAAAACTGGTTTGGCTCAGTGGATAGAGCATCGGCCTACAGACTCAAGAGTCCCGGGTTCGATTCCAGTCAAGAGCATGTACATTGGCTGCGGGCACATCCCCAGTGGGGGGTGTGCAGGAGGCATCTGGTCGATGTTTCTCTCTTATCGATGTTTCTAGCTCTCTATCTCTCTCCCTTCCTCTCTGTAAAAAAATCAATAAAATACATATTTTTTAAAAAAAAGAATTCTGATTTGAACAACTTGTTGGAGGAAAGCCTCAAGACAGGAGTGAGTGTGTCTACACCTTGTTACAAGTTAAAAAAAGAATCCCCTCAAGAGGTAACAACCATAGAGCTGTGCGTAGTCTTGGCTTGAAAATATTTTTAGGTGTGAGAGGCTATAATCCAAAATTACCACTGTTTCTAACTCAGGACACATTTGGGGAGAGGAAGGGACAGGGATATTAACTTTAAA